GGTTCATTGTAAGAGTGATAGTCACATCTCATTATTGTATTAGACTCAAGTAACCCAAGAATTGGCAGTGGGTGCTATTGACTAGCTGCCTTCCCTCTAGTCTTTTTAGTTCAAAATTAGGGATGACTGGGTGCAGTTAGTCCTTGTCCAGCTTTTTACAAAATCTTGATACAAATAAATAATAATAGAGGGGCAAGACCTTTTGTGTCTTGGGCCACAAGAAATGTTAATCTGGCCTTGGTTGAAGATTAATGTCTTCACTCTACCATTCACCACGTTTCTTTTCGTCAAGTGAATTTTCTATAGCTTTGATATATCCTCTGCATGTTTGAGAAATATTCAAATATTTCCAACAAAATATGTAATGTTTTACTCTTTATGCTTACGTGAAGGGCTCAGACATGTTTTTGCAACAAAAAGTTTGTTTAAAGTTAACTAAATATGTTAGGCCTACACTGTGCATATTGTTAACACTTGTCCATATCAAATGATTATAGAAAATGTTAAGTGGCTGATCATGTATGCTAAGTAATATCTTGATATGATGTCATCTGTTTTGTGCATGTCTGTCTCAGTGTGAAAAACCTCTTTATAAAGTTTTATAATTAAGCTGATGAGGTGTTAATGGCCACATATTTATAGTAGTACTAGTACCATATATATGTAGCCAAAAATTAAAACTATAGAAAATTTTATATATTTTTTCATTTACCTGGTTTTATGGTGTAATAGCCTGAAGCTTAAAGCCAATATGCAGGACAGTTTTTCTCTCTCTGACATTTAACTGGTGACCCTTCTCAGCCTTATATAATTGAGATACTACTTTAAAATATAAACATTTAAGTTTTGATTTTTATTCTGAGTGAAAGATGTGTTTTTCTTGTGTAGTGACTGTAACTGTGCAGGTGTATTGGAAAAGGTTCTAAAAGCATTTTTATAATCAACTTACCATGTAATACTTAGTAAAAACTAGAACTAGGTGATTAACTTGGTTGATATAAGCAAATACCTATCAGTATATCAATTACATTGATTAGTTCACATAAAATAATTGATTAGTTAGAATTTTGGTTAAATTGTTTGATGTCAGGAAAATCATTTGAAAGGAACATAAATTATTTTCTGAACAACAATTTAGTGAGAAAAAATTTCACATGTTTGTTTCCTGAGACACAGAATTTGAAACATTTTTGTATGACATGCTTATTTCAGTTTATTGATGGGAACTATATCATTATCCTCAAATTATCATCTGATCCTTAACAACACTATCCAATTCTTTAACATAATTTGAAATGTGTATGATATGTATGCTACTAATAATTGTAGTTATACTTAGCACATTATTTTTGGCAAGTGTCTCTTACTTGATGCCATTGTTGAGTTATGGGCTTCCTTGTTCAGAGAAATAGTTTAATGTGCAAGTATGAATACATTTTATGTACCTATGCTTTGGTATGTTATGAAGATTAACAAGGGAATGTTCTCTATTTCATTTCAAAACTGTTGCAAAGAGCCAACTTCTTTTGTTGTAAGTGTGCATAATTACTTTATCTACTCTGTGAAAGAGTTCAACTGTTAGGTTTACAAAACAGTGTTGTGCAGATGGTTCAATACCTGGAAATAACATGTTGTGTGTAGAAAGTTTGGAAAAATGTGGTTTATCTTGTAAATAATATTAAGGGATTAAAAGTATATAACTGTATATATAATTCAAACAATATAGGTTTCATTCACTATAATTTGGACTTTAGAAGTTCAACAATGTCTACATATTACTGTGAAATAGAAAAATTAACAATCGCAAACCATATATCATTAACTTAGTTTGCTGAACTTTAAAATTGATATTTTATTATTTTGAATTTTATATTAAAACACATAATTGATATGTAAAGTGTATGTTAATGAACAATAATTCTAGAAAGAACTATTTGACGTTATTAAGAAAATGATTTGCCATGGTGCATATAGATCAACCATATTTACTGTTTCCCTAGCATAATTTAATTGAAGGTCTGTTCTGGCAATTAAGTGTTAGAAACAAGAACTTTAACTTGACCCACAGGCTTTATAAGAAGTAAATATGCTATCATTAGATAAAAAAAACAATAAATATTTACTAAATGAACAGAAGTGAAACTGAAAGTAATTCATTCTTAATTTTATAGAATGCATGAAAGATATTCACTGTTTTGACTGTCATATGCAGTGCAATGTAACAATGTTTAATGGACAAAAATTGAAAAAAAAAAGTCCTTCCTACCTACTTAAATTTTTCCTGGCAATGTTACCATAAACATATAATTATTATTTTTTGGGCTTAATATGTAATGAAAAATAAATACATGAGGATAGAGAATTAGAGATACAGGGAATCTGCATTTTGCTGTTTCAAAATTATAAATTGTTTGCTCACTTTGCACTAGAATTTTGTTGTATACAGTATAATGATGTAATTTTTTCCCTGTGAAAATCTTATTCTCCACTACATTTAACAAGTGAAAGTGGTATGTGCTGTTAAGTTTATTGTCCCTTTTTACATTGAAGACACCCCTAAAGTATCCTTGTGCTTGATTGTTTAAATGTAGTTGTGTACATTCTGTTCACCACCACATGATTGATTGGTTCCATACAGTTGTGTTCATATAAAATGGTAAACTTTACCCCAAGAACTAAGTGTAACTTATGTTAACCTATGCCTACTGGTAATCTTACTAGTCTGTTATATTTATTGTTTTTATGATTTATAATCAATGTCATGAAGTACAACATAATTTAAACAACATAGTGCACTTCTAAGGGTGCTTAAATACATTTTCAAACTACTTTTTACGTTAGGTTAATAAACTTTATTTCCTTAAAAAAATAATCACATATAAAAGATTAAAACAAAAACTAGTCTTGGCAGCTGGCCTGTATGATGTTTCAGTTAATTTAATGCATCCTCCATTGTTGGGAAGAAAATTATTTTTCAGATCATGTGCAAAAATACATAAAATTTGACCAACAATACTGATGTCCATAGAAAAAAATAAAATAATATCAGAGCTCTTAAGATGGTGAACTTATTTTAAACATTTTTCAAACATTAAGAAAAAAATGCCAAAAAGATTCTACAATTAATATATTTTTTAATGTTTGACATTAGCAATTTCCAAATAGTAGATATATAGATTATTTTAAAAAATGTCTTCCAAAGTTGATTTTCCAGTATGATATCTTACCTGTTTGTGTTTGATGATGCTATCGATGTGCAGTTTTTGCTCACCACTACCTTGATACTTTTACCTACCCCTACGTGTTTACTCATGACACAGCTTCATGTAGCATGCAAGAGTCCTCCACCAATAGGAGCTCAACACACCCTCCTGGCATAGCTGACTCTTTTTGTACTGTAGAACCCAATCTGTATTCCACATTGGCATGCTTGTCTTCCTCTGCCCTATTCCTACAAACTTGGCTCCTCTGTTGTTAGGATCTTCTGGGTAGGGATGCCCTTTTAGTCACATGTGCCTACCCACTTCTGATTTGCATGACCTTTGTATGGCTCCATTTTTATGCCAGTCAGTCTTTGGAGATCTTTCTGAGTTATTGGAGTCCAGAATGGAGGCTGCTCATCAATACTCCTCCTTTTCATCCTTGGTCTATCGAACCTGTCAGTCACCTTTTTCTGGGGTTCAATTACCAGGCATTTTCCTGGTTTTGCTCAATTCCACTTAGGTGTGCACTCCTCTTACTGAAGAATGGACAAAAAAAAATCCCAATGCTGCCTAGTTTTGGACTGGGGATTATCTACCACATACAGTTCACCCCTCCAACTGGGATTCCTCATCCTACTGCCACCTAGATTTTGGTTCTCGGATGGCCTGGTGTTAGATTAGAGTAAGTTCTCATACTTGTGGCTGGTAGGGACCCTCTACCTATCAAGAAATGGACCATTCCCAATGTTGTCAAGTTTATTGGACTGGAGTTGTACCACCATGTTGCATTCCCTCCCTTCCTACTTTCACCTGGATTCCCAAGTGTCCTAGTGTTGGTTGTGTACTGGGTTTGCATATGTGCCCAGGCTAGGATGGTAGGATGAAAGCCATTTTCCCTTCTACTTCTTAGTCTTGAGGTGAAAATGATAGGAACCCTCCTCCTACCAAGGACCAGATAAGAAATACCTGATGCAGCCTGTTTTTGGAGTGGAGTTGACTTACCAAATATGATCTGATGTGCCCTAGCTACTGTACACCATTTGGCACATCCAGTTATGCATTGGATGTGCATCCTTTCTGCCCAATTTAGCAACATGGACTCTCTTTGGATGCTTTTTGAAGGGTGCTCATCTAGATAAATTTTGCACTGGTCCATCCACCAGTTCAATGTGAGATTCTAGCTATTACATGAGAAGAGGTTATAAGTTATAATTTTCCTCCATTGAAAATGTGTTTCTGATAGATACTTACTTCTTCTCACACTTCCCACTTCTGGTGCTTCTTTTTTACCTAATGTCAAAGTGAAGATTTGGTTCTACAGTGTAGAGAGAGCCAGCTGTTCCAGGAAGGTGTGTTGCAGTCCTGTTGGTGGAGGGCTTTTGCATGTTACAACACAGCTGCACCATGAGTAAACACATGGGGTTAGGTGAAAGTATCAAGGCTAGTGGTGAGTGAAACTTTTGCATATAGAGGGCAGCACTGAACTAGAATAACTATTATGTGAGAGAAGGTAAGTATCTATCAGAAATACATTTTAACATAACATAATGTTTTGGGACAACATGAAACCTATTGGTCCATCTCAGCTGTTTCATCCTCATTGTAGGAAAATTAAAACTTTTTACTTACTCAAGTTATGTGAGAATTTTCAATTGTTTAATTTTTAGTATTATATAGATATGTATGGCTATAACCATCTCATGAGAATAATCAACTAGTCAAATGTAATCAGTTAATGAGCCAAACACTAATTGCTGAACTCTATTATGAAGCAGTTCTGTTTCATGTATGTTTTAGGCAAGAATAAAGAAGATAATGCAGACTGATGAGGAGGTTGGTAAGGTTGCAGCAGCAGTGCCTGTTATTATTTGTATCCTTTGAAAAACTGCAGGTTGGTTATCAGACTAGAAACAACTGTGGTGTGTGTACTCAAAGGTATTTTTAATATGTTTAGGACACAATACTTTTGAAATTAGAAAGATGAAGAAGATTATTTCTGATGTATTGGCACTGAAATGGTGAATGACCATAAGCAGAATTTATGCTTTGACATTTTTTGTATTATAAATGTGTCTAATTTTCAGTGAAAAATGTAACTTGATTGTTTTAGTAGCTAAACCAAAAAGAATTAGAAAGTTTCAGTTCATTCTGAATTGCTCAAAACTCAGATTTGAGGAAGCAAATATATGAAATAGTTAAACAGTATTTACATTTTGTTAATTCAATTTATGAGAGGCCCCCAGTTGGTATGTCTCTACTTTCACCAGTACATAAAGAATGCCTCTTGTAATTATTGCTTTGATTCATGGTGTGTTATTTCATAAACCTAATTTTTGGCATTACAAGCCTTACCCCTGAGTCACTAGGAGTGGGGGGAGCAGAGGTCTTGCATGTGATGTCATAAAACTACTGTTTCGTTCAATGCTGCCATACTGGATATCAAACATTCCCTTCTACTAGTCAGTAGCAATCCATATATATAAATACAACATTTGGTAAAGATTTGAATGCTGTCAATGGCATAAAATTGCCTTTGGTAAAATATATGAATCTGAATCCTACTGCTGTTCTCTTTCTTGATACAATTTTTTGTATGCTTGCTACTGAGATGACTTACAGCATTAGATAACACAATATTTGAAGACAAATTCATAATTTTTCACTTAAGACAGATGTAAGCACTTTGCATCCACTATGGGGTAGTAAATTATAGACCGTTAACATTTTGACATCAATGCAAGACTTCTATAGCCATCTCCATTTCATGCACACTTTTATAATGCTTGTAAGATTTATGAGCATCACACTAAGATCTTTTAAGAAATATGGTCCCATCTCTTCACATATATCTTTTAGTGACTGGAACTGTTTATATTGCAAAATGACAAAATACTTTTTTCTAAAAGTTGTGAGTCAGTAAACCTAAAACTAACAAGTTATTTCAGTTGTATGTGAGCACATTAATAATAATCATACTTACATCTGTTGTTCAGTTAACTTTCGCTGTAATCACATCCATCAGTTTTCTGGACCAGGTGATCATTCAGGAAATATAAATATTTATTAATTCATCACATGTAAATATGTTTCTCAAGGTTAAGTAATGAAGGATATATTTATAGAATTGTTAATATAACTGTAGTATGTTTCACCAAACATGGTGGAGGATGAGTTAAAGATGCAAATAAGTTGCAGTCTGTCTTTTCAGAAATATCTATGTTTATTTCTCTAAAACAAGTGTCAATTGTTTTATGCCCCTTTTACTGTTTCTCAGCTTTTGAATGGGCTTTCATCATTGCTTTTCTCCATTTTTCTAAAGTCATGGATAACTGCCCTTCAGCTATAAATTTATGATCATCGTGTTTATTGAACATGTCTACTTTGGCATTAATATTCTTTCAGAAATGAAATTATTTCTAGCAGTTTTCAACCCCACTTACAATAAATCAATATCTATGCCATACTGTTTATACCTTTAACAACTTTTCCCTCTCCTCCTCAATAATACACTTTGTCTCACAACAAGATAAACAAATTAATTTGACTTATTTTACAATAGTAAATATTTTTTATGAGAAATGACAATCTAATATCCATAGTATTTATATATTTTCCTAATAGTTTATTATAGTAAGTATAATAAGCTAGGTCTACAGTATTTTTGAGTTGTGAATATGTCTATATATGGTACAGCATGTTTCACATTAACCAAAATTTCATAGTAACCAATGCTCAACCACCATAATTCATTAATGTAGTTTTACCATAAGAGTAAATGCTGACATTAGAATGTGTGTAAAAGTAGACTAGACTAACAAACACAAAATAAAATAAAAATTGCTACCTCTCAGTTTCATCAGATGTCTTATATCCAATTAAAACATTATCCATCATTAAATGAGAAAGTAAAGAAAAAATTCTTTATCCTCTATAATGAAAACAAAAGAAAGATTGTTTTAACTTCAGCATGAGCTGCAGGTGCAATGACATTTTTGAATTATGTTGTTGCTTCTGTATATTTCATAGTTTGAACAATGTGCATTAAAATCTGTGCTTGTTAATTTAAAGTGTTTTGTTTTAGTTATGGATTATATTGAACACTTCTTCAACTTGACATTGTTAGCAAGAGCATTAGAACTGTTTGTGGAGTCTCTTATCAAACGAACTAGTGATATAACACGGTCCAGAAATGCTAAGACTCTCACCACCTCACATTTGTAAGTTACTTCAAATATTTAGGTGCTTTTTATATATCTCAATTCCAAAAAAATGAATGAAGATGAACAAAGTTATTTTAAATCATTTTAAAAACTAAAAAAAATTTGTTTATAGGTTAATAATTATATATGACCCTGTTAATTGTTTTGAGTGTGATCACGAGGTTTTTTATTTGTGAAGTATACAGAAAAACTTGGAATATGTTCACGAGAAGCACTCAATTCTGTTGGTTTCAGATTAGCTTCAGTTTAGTATTCATCAGACTCGTAACCTTAGTTGCTGCTTGTTCATATCAAAACGTGCCTATTTTATGTTTGACAAGTTCTCGGGTTTTCTAGGAATGTATTTATTTACACTGGTTGATAGCCACCTAGTTGTCATTTAAAGAACCACATTTTATTTGTGAATGCTTTATTCATGTTGATGGTGAAAGTTTGTATAGAAAAGTACACTTGCACGCTGATTTGTTCTTATGCTATTATGGAAAACAAGGATTAGATTAAATGTCCCAGTTTTGTGATCTTAAAATACAACAACTTTACTTTTTTGTTGTTGTTTTTCTTAAAGGCTGTACACTTATTTCATTGATTTAGTCGAAGTTTAGGTAAATCGAGCTCACAAGATCATAAGTAATTATTCTCAATAATTTTCAAGAAATGCATTTAACAAACTGGTTCATTTATAGTATTATCAGAGAAGTGTTGAATAAACATGTGAACATATTTAAAAAAACAGTTGTAGTGGTGTTAATGTAAGTAAAAAAAACAGTCATTCTGTATCCAAATTAAGTTGGTTCCTGTAATACATAGTGTGTATCCACAGATGTAATTCAGTTGTGTATATAACTTGTCTTTTTGAGTAAGAAATGCATTCTATCTTTAAAAACACATTCTTAAGTATAAAGTGGTCATTAATCATTTTCATTTTCACATGTCTTGTTTATGGAAAAGAGTATGTGAGCTCAATCACTCTGTAGCTTATTACCTATATAAAAATATAACACAATTCTAAAAAACCTGAGAACTCATTAAGCATCATGCAGCAATAAAAGATGCAGTTACTATCACAAATAACAGATTTATAATAATTAATAGAGTTGAGAATAAGCAGCAATAAAGGATTTAAAAGAAACTGATGATAACTAAACTGAAACCTATTTTAAACCAAGATAATTTGATGCTTCTGTTTCTCTTCAGACTCTAAGCATTTCTAAATTTTTAACACAATGATTTGCTTACACATCTTCAATAATAGTGTTTTAGCAAGAAAACTTTGATTTATACTTTTATCTTAATACTACTACTAAGTGATTTCCTGAGTATTTTAGAAACAATTGAGTAGGTTTATTGTAATGGGAGAAAAGTAGACAAGTAAAGTAGAATTTTCTGCATTTTCATTCATTTTCAAAAACAATATTGAGGCTGATGCATTCACTTCCAGGTCAATTAATATTTTTGGAAATACTCATACATCAGTTACTAAGTCTTGTATATTAATCAGGAAATTATATAATTGAAAAATACAGACTAATCCAAGTTCAGAAAGAAATAAGATAAGAATGAGATTATAAGATTGTTTGTTTCTTTAATTTATTATATGCCTGTACCGTCAAATTTTTGTTTTTCTTCTCACAGCTAGCATGTTAAATGTTTAGAATTTTCATGATTTAACAAACTTTTTTTGTAAAACCTTCCTAAAATATATTCAGATAATTATATTGGACCAGTTAAGTTTGAAGAAACACTTTGAAGAATATGTAATTGATCTGTTAATATTTGTGTTTTTGATACACAAATTGCCCACGGTGTAACAGTGATTGGGATTGAGCTTCATATTGAACTTGCTATGTTGTACTTCATATTTTAACAGTTGAAGAAAATAAAACTTATCTATGTTGTAGAAAGGCCTGCATTATGGCTGATTCCCAGCTCCATTTTCTAAAAGATTTGGTTGCTTCTGTTCCTGATGTTCAAATGGAAGAAGAAATGGCAACAACTGGTGGTATTGAACCTCAGCAAACAGGTCCTTGTGCAGTTGGTCGTTCAAGGTACTTGAAAAAAAGTATTCTAGATTTTACTGTTTTCCTTTACATTAATGATGTTGGAAAAACACGTAGATTCAAGAAGTCTTGATAAAAATGAATAAAACCCCTATAACCTGAGTGCTTTCGAAAAGGTGGACCTTTCGAAAGAGCTCAGGTTATAGGGTTTTTTACTCATTCCTTTACATTAAATTGTTACTGATTTTGTATTCTTTGATATGCATGTTTTATATTTCACAGATGTGTTTCATCTCATACTGACAGCTTAAAATTTCTACAGTTTTACTACTTTATTGTAGTAGTGCAGAGGAGGGTAAAGGCACATCTTAAGATTTGTTATTTATTTTTTATACTTTTGGGGACATTTGTTTCTGACACAAAACTATTGGATAAGTAAGTTGCAGTGAATCTAACCTGTTGTTAGAATTAAAACTCATTGGAATACCTTTACCTGCTGTAAAAGGTTTGTTTAAACTTTTTATATGTGCAGTCAGACCTTGACGTTAACTTTGAAAAGCACTATCTAATGGTTTCCAGGTTTGTTTTTTTTCCACTAGTAAATTTGGAACTAATACTAGTAACGCCATTATTTTTCTCTGAAATTAACTATTACTTTGTCATAATTATCTTATGTATTAAATGTTAATAAATACATATAAATATTCTGTTTCACACTTTCTTTTCTGATACTTCTGAATATCAAACTCATTTTAAATACATGTAACAGTTTTTATTTTAACTATTTCACAGAAGTCAAAAGATGCTTGAGTTAGGCAAAAACTGGTATATTTACACCTGCATCAACAAATTCAACAGTATGTCACTGTTGAGGTCAAGATAAAAAATATAGTTTCTTTGTCTGTGTTTGACCAACCTGAAAAACAACAACCTGGTTTCAATAAAAGTTTTTTCTAATTCATTGATTTGTCTAAAAATCGATTTTCTAATCTTGTTTCAACTTGTTGCTGATCAGTATCACCAAAATGCTTACTGTCTAATGAATGACAAAGCTAAATTCACACTAAAAAGGGGGCCTATAGTTAGAGTAATTACAGAAAGTACTGATTGTGAACTTATTTTTGAAGATTCAATTTCTTTTTTGTGTAAAGACAAACTTTATGTAAGAACAAAACATTGGACCTTTTGGATAAGGTTTATGTAAAATGATATTGAATGAATGTTTATGTAAACTTCAACTCACTAGTTCACCATTAAATGTTATAACAAGGTTACATAATATACATGAAGAAGGATGATGTAATGTGTTTCTGTTGGGTTTATTTTACTGAAAATGGAAATACCTTCAAAAAATAGGGGGACTGCAAATAATGAGTAAACTCATTCTACTTGTGCAACCACTAGAAACTTCCTTTATTTCGCCTCAAATTTTGCATTTAGAGCTATCATGTTTCAAATTTTCTAACTTGAATTGTAAAATAACTATGATGTAAGTAATGTTTGATTTGTTCTGATTCTACATCAGTACTGTATTTGTTTGTCATAGTTACTATTTGGTATTCAGAAATAATGAATACTCCCTTCAACATATATATATATATATATGTAGATATAGATGCAGAATAAACAGATTGTTTGAAGAACTGCTTTTATTGTTATAATCTGTTCACAAATTATTTCATTATTGAAGGGTTTTTTTCCCAAAAAGTGTGAAAAATATAGTATTCTGTGTAATGTTGATTGTAATTTTACATAATGAATAGAAATAACTTTCTAAAATCAGCAAAAAACAGTGTTTGTTCTTTTTTTTTATGTTTCTGTTGTTTGATACAACTAGTCTCAAAACATAAAAATTAAAATCAATGAAAATCATTTGGTAGGGCTCTCAACCTTGTCTTTGATGGGTATGTGAAATGTATTATGTTAAATGATTTACACGTACCTTTCAATTGCATAAATGTTGAAACTTATAGGCACTTTACCATGTGAAATAACTTATTGTTGAAAATTGCATGCTCTCAAAATTTCTGGAACTATTGTTTAACATGTGGTTTAAACACATTGAATAGTTATGCATTAAAATTTTCAAGTGTTTTATTGTACATGTTTTCCTGAAATAAACTATTGATAGTACTTTAAACTTAAAAAAAAATAACTGCCTGCCTAGCTATACAACTTTCTTGGATAGGGTTGGGCATAGGCAAACAAACATTTTTATTTCTAAAAGTTACAGACAGCAGTAGAAGCCAATATGCCTAACATTAGTACTAATGATAGCCAGACTAAGAGGAATGTGAAAAACCAGATCTGCAGTTTACATAATTTCTATTTTATTATCACCCTAAATGAACAGTCATTTTAACACTGTATTTTTTTAACCATGTTGGCTGCAAAACTTTACTGTAGTAGCTAGATGGTGTGAGTCCAGAAAGTTGGGCCATGTACAAGTGCCTTAAGTAACTAGTCACGCTAGTTGAAGCTGCAGTATTACTATCCCCATTTCCTGACATGCCATGCAGCTCAAATGGAGATTGCAAAACCAGCATGGCAATGACAAATGAAACACTGAAATGCATTTATCATGGGCGTATTGATTATTGATACTTAGAATCTGCAAATTTTCCTCCTGAATATACCAATGATTTTTTTCTAGTGCCTTCTATGTTTTAATAGCAAAAAATGCAACATCAACCTGCAATTTACTGATTTGTTAGCTTTGGTTTTGAGCCCTGGTAGTGTCTATTGAAACATTTTAGTGCAGTATGAAAATGTTTACCTGGTTCTACTTTGTAGAGGTAGACAAAGACACAGAACTGGTGGAGATGGCAGTGCTGGACCAAGTCAGTCAACAGCAGAAGATTCAGAAACTGCAAGTGATGAGGAGCTCATGAACAATGAAGAAGTAAGATTGCTTTCCAACTTAACAATAACAACATTGTCAGTAATTTTAATTACGTCATTCTTAATATTGATTCCCATTAACTCTAAAATGTTTAGGGGCATCATTTCAGTGCACATGCTGTGTGGTGTGTTTTATAGTAATGCAGAACAAAACTACTGAATGAAACTGTTTGAATGTTGAGGTGAACTTTTTACAGAGGATGTAGCTTCTGGATGTAAATTATAGTCATATATGGTATTTGTATGAATTTACAGATTAAAATTAAAATTTCAAAAAAAAAAAGATTTGATTGTAATGTTTTTCTAAAGAAACAATCAAAGATGCTTATCTTTCTAAAAGAAGGTAAATACACAATACCATGTAAAGTAACTTAAAATAAAATTTAAATCCACAAAACAAAACAACGGCAAATTTATATGGATACAAGTTTTGACACTTTCTTTATGAGCTTTATTTTGTAATAGGTAATGAGATTTCATTTAATATATGTAATAAGTTTTAAGCTCATTTATATTTATTTATGTGTTTTTACATTTTATTTGGTTATTGTTTTTTGCCATTCAAGCAGTTACTTAGGTCTTACACCAATAAGGCCTAACAAACAGCAGTTTTGTAGGCAAAGCGAGTGCAAAATGATTTAAGCCGATCTCATCTTGACATTCAAAAAATGTTTCCTATCATACGGAAACACAATAATTCTAAACAAGAATAAAATGATAAATCATTCTTTAAAAAAAAAAATTAGGACTGTAATTGTGGCTGAAGTTCATAAATATATTATCTTTAGTAACTTGTCACCACACTAAACTTTTATCATATTGTTTTGATCTTTTACAAGTATCCTGAACTGAAATCAGTATTTGCTTATATGTTTGAAAAAACAAGAAAAAAGATTTCATTACATGTCTAGATCACTAGTTTTATGACTTCTCAAAGCTTAGATTACGTAATTACATCACTCCATGACAACCAAAGTTGAGAAACAGAGATTGATTAAAATTGATAAAACTGGACTTATATTGAACTTCCAAGGTTAAATTTACATTTTTGCCTTTCCTTCTAGGGGATTATAAGTGCTATATTTTTTCAGAAAATTTTTATGAAATTCACAAACACCAATGTTTTTGTTCAAAGCTTGTTGAAACCAACTTAGAGTGAAAATTTACAATTTAAAAAATTATGTATAAAATGAAATAAATGAAACCTTTTTATTAAATACATTTCAGATCTCTGGCATTGAGTGAATGGTCTTATTATCTTTTTTTATGTAAGAATTAGGATGTTATTTAGAAAAGTAAGAAAATACTTGTATATATCTACAGTTTGTTTGTGTTATTTATACAAGCAACACATCCTTTTCTATTGTCGAATCCCTATGCACAAAACTTCTTTTAGAAGCGGTGTCCAGTCTATACATTTCTTGGACAAAAATAACTTATTATCGAGAATACAGTTGTCCAAAAGATCAATGTCTTTTTAAGAAAGACCCCCCCCC